TCTGTGTGAGTGAGTGAGTCTGTGTGAGTGTGTGAGTCTGTGTGAGTGAGTGAGTCTGTGTGAGTGTGCGAGTCTGTGTGAGTGAGTGAGTCTGTGTGAGTGTGTGAGTCTGTGTGAGTGAGTGAGTCTGTGTGAGTGTGTGAGTCTGTGTGAGTGAGTGAGTCTGTGTGAGTGTGTGAGTCTGTGTGAGTGAGTGAGTCTGTGTGAGTGAGTGAGTCTGTGTGAGTGAGTCTGTGTGAGTGAGTGAGTCTGTGTGAGTGTGTGAGTCTGTGTGAGTGAGTGAGTCTGTGTGAGTGTGTGAGTCTGTGTGAGTGAGTGAGTCTGTGTGAGTGTGAGTCTGTGTCAGTGAGTGAGTCTGTGTGAGTGTGTGAGTCTGTGTGAGTGAGTGAGTCTGTGTGAGTGTGTGAGTCTGTGTGTGAGTGTGTGTGAGTCTGTGTGAGTGAGTCTGTGTGAGTGTGTGAGTCTGTGTGAGTGTGTGAGTCTGTGTGAGTGAGTCTGTGTGAGTGTGTGAGTCTGTGTGAGCGAGTGAGTCTGTGTGAGTGAGTGAGTCTGTGTGAGTGTGTGAGTCTGTGTGAGTGAGTCTGTGTGAGTGTGTGAGTCTGTGTGAGTCTGTGTGAGTGAGTCTGTGTGAGTGTGTGAGTCTGTGTGAGCGAGTGAGTCTGTGTGAATGAGTGAGTCTGTGTGAGTGTGTGAGTCTGTGTGAGTGAGTCTGTGTGAGTGTGTGAGTCTGTGTGAGTGTGTGAGTCTGTGTGAGTGAGTGAGTCTGTGTCAGTGAGTGAGTCTGTGTGAGTGTGTGAGTCTGTGTGAGTGAGTGAGTCTGTGTGAGTGAGTGAGTCTGTGTGAGTGTGTGAGTCTGTGTGTATGTGCACGTGTGGATCACCACACAAATGTTGTGAAACTCCCCGTGGTCGCTAAGGTCGCCATCTCCTGGCCTATCCAGGGTCTGGAAGCGCAGCAAGCGGAGACATTTCCATCTCGAGGGGATTTAATGTTTCCCCCTCGCACGCGTTGGTTCTCTCCCCTCACATGCATACTCGCTCTTGAATGGAACTGGGCAAACATATGCCATGCAATGGGGCCCATTGCTTCAAACATCGCCCATGATATATTTTCCTCTTAAGGCAGCCGTGGTATTAACGAATGTGTTCATTGAGTTTTATTTGTGCACCACTGCCAACGCGGTATCGACAAATTATCCCAATGTAGGACCACAGAGCTTGGGGATATTGTTGGTCGCGCCGGTTTCTGGCTGGCTGCAACACCAATGCACAACATACAGCACTAACATACAACATGTATGTTGAACTTCTATCGCACCGTACGTAGCCTAGCCAACCGCGATAATCGGAGGTGCTGGCTGCTGGTGAAGGACAACAAACTAAGCACAAAAAGCAGTTCTAAAGAAATGGGTTGTCAAAGACATTTAAAAGTGCAGAGCTCCAATGTCTTCCAAATATCGGAAGGAAGAGCGATGGCCGCAGAAGCGCATCTGAAAGCGGCACGCGATGAGGTGCCCGCACCCCTCCTGACCCCCCCGGGATGCACCCCAGAGCCCCCCCCCAACCCCCCTCGGACCCCCTCGGCGAAGACAGCGCAGAGTGCCGCAGCTGCCTCGCCCGCACTGTGGCACTGCAGTTGTACCACGTGGCCACACGGCGGCGGTGGAGATTACTGATCGGGCGTCCGTGTTGGTGAGCTCATTGAGACGAGCAGGGGTCCCCAACCCCCGGGCCGCTGACCAGTACCGGTCCGTGGCCTGTTAGGAACCGAGCCGCACAGCAAGAGGTGAGCGCCTCTTTCCCGCACTGCGCACTTGTCTCAGTCAGCTTCTTTGAAAAGGGGGAAAGACCCAATCATGACCCCCCCCCCCCCGTCCGTGAAAAAATTGTCTTCCATGACACCGGTCCCTGGTGCCAAAAAGGTTGGGGAGCACTGATTTAGAGGACGTCCATGTTGGTTAGGTTATTTAGAGGACGTCCATGTTGGTTAGGTTATTTAGAGGACGTCCATGTTGGTTAGGTTATTTAGAGGACGTCCATGTTGGTTAGGTTATTGAGAGGACGTCCATGTTGGTTAGGTTATTTAGAGGACGTCCATGTTGGTTAGGTTATTTAGAGGACGTCCATGTTGGTTAGGTTATTTAGAGGACGTCCTTGAATTACGTCACGCACCTAGGGGGGGGGGGGGGAGTCAGACATTTGTGACGATGTGTGACGAGGGGGGGGGGGGTTGAGAAATGTGACGTCACATCAAAATGCGTAACTTTAAATACATATAGTCAACACGTTCTACTTAATTAAATATACTTTTAATAAATGTTTTATCCTACAACATCATAGAGCAGCGGCACATTAAATACGCACTACAATGACAATACTTTAAAGCGATTTGAAGCGTGTTTTATTTTTTGTGGGGGGATGGGGGGCAGAGCTTTGTGACGCCGTGTGACGAGGGAGGGTGGGGTCAAAAGTCGTCCAAAATCGCGTGACGTCATTTATGGACAGCCCCTTAGGTCATTTAGCTCATGAGGTTTTGGTCTCATTGCCACCTCCACCATGAGCAGAGGCCGCGGGTAGAGGCCACGCACCGACACTCGGGGCAGTCGTCCCAACTGTTGAAGTGGCGAGCTGCCGGCTTGGACAGGAAGGCCATTGTCCGAAGCGTCGCCTGTATGTGTTCTTCTTTAAAGGCCGCCGGGTTATTAACGAATGTGTTGATTTTGTTTAATTCGGGATTGTGTTCGTGCGCCACTGCCATCGCAGGCAGAGATTCACCCAGGAGAGGGTGCCGTGTATCCATGCACTCCAGTGACATCCGCAGGGCCAGGCTCGAGCCAGTGCGTGACAGAGTTATTTGCTGAACTTGATCCATGTCTATCAGAGTGGGTCCCTGCCAAGAGGACCAGGCAATTCATCAGTGTTGGTTCAAGCAAGCCTGACTGCTGATTAGTCACCAAGTGTCCAATCCTCACCAGGATGCTGCTTGTGTTGAATCAATGATGCTGCTGAGATCTACTCTCAGAAGGCTGACGGGATGAGTAGAACCACTCGCATTGTTTATGTGGAGATACGGCTATGAGGAGGCAGTTATTGAGAGATGTCAACTACCTCGCCTGGTATACAGGGAGACGTGGGTTCGATCCCGACCCCGACACCTGTTTATTTGGAGTTTGCGTGTTTTTTCCGTGGTCGCGTAGATTCTTCTACGGCTCCTCTGGTTTTCCCCTCCACATTGAGAAACATACGTTTCTAGTATTTGACATATATTTTCAGATGATGAGCCACTTCATTGAGATATTATTTGTGACCAGGTAGTTTCTGAAAAAGAGCTATTGGACTAGTGGGCCTTACCTGGTAAATAAAAAGTTTAGTTCGGGCCACCTCCCGCACCACGCTTGTGAGCACAGGGACACCGCGTGCTCACCTCCAGACCGCATCACCAGCTTATACCTCGAGCTCACACCTTGAGCTCACGCCTTGAGCTCGAACTTTCAGTTCACACCTCCGGCTCATCACCTTCTGCTGAGCTCCACCAAGCACGCTCGGCTCAGGTTCTTTAATCACGAATACAGCAGCCGCGTTGTACAGACTCCACCAATATTCAGGGACATCTCCACCGCCACTCAGGGACATCACCACTGCTCAAGGACATCTCCACCACTCACAGCAGGGGCAACGGACACCACCGTTGACATTTCACAGATGTGATTGAGATGGTCAGCTGTGATTTCAGGTGCATTTTGATGACTCCATGAGAACCGTTCTTGATCTGCTGAAGTAGCAGCGATAATCCTCGTGCCACTTCTTTATTTCGTCCCAGAGCACCCTGCACCGACCGGGTCGTGACAGTGACAGCAGCAGTAGCGACATCGTGGCGCGTCACTGACACAGCTAAACACACATGAGCGGAGATGTAGTGGCGGCTGCAGGCAAAGCGCATCCCTCACATGAACAATAAATCAAGCTACACTCTAGCCCACAGATATGTCAAAGACAAAGATCCCCCGTAAAGATTTAACAGACTGGCATGCGAGGTAGCCTCAGCTAAATGAGTACCAGGCACTAATTTGAGACTGAGTCGATCACTGGTGTTGGCCATGAGCGGAAATTTAACTCCGGTCGCCGGCTTCGTAGCGCAGCACGCTAACATGCAAAGGGTGCAGCGATGTTGTAATGTTATTTATTTTGTATTATTTCTTATTTGGGGTGGTGGTGTTGGTAGGGGTCAAGGTGTTTATAGAGTTGGCGTTTGTAGGATAGGTAACGTTGATAGGACTGTTGTTGGGAAGAGTGATGGTGTCGGTTGGGGTGGTCGTATTGGTAGGAGTCATTGTGTTGGTAGGATTGGTGCTGGTAGGGTTGGTGTTGGTAGGGGTAGTAGTAAGAATAATGGTGTTGGTAGGGTTGGTGTTGATAGGGTTGGCGTTGGTAGGGTTGGTTTTGGTAGGAGTGGTGGTGTTCGTCGGAGTAGTTGCGTTTGGTCAGGGTAGCGGTGATGGGAGGGGTGGTAGTGTTGGTGGGTGTGCGGATTCTAAAGGTGGTGGAGTTGGTAGGAGTGGTGGAGCAGGCATTGATCCGGGCCATGAAGAGTGATTCTCTTTTCCCTCATGATCATGAGGCTGGACACATACTCAGCTGGGGTGATGTGGCTGGGAGTGGTAGTGAGGGTAGAGGAGGTAATGTTGGTAGGCGTGGGACTGGTCGAGGTGGTGGAGTTGGTAGGAGCGGGGGAGTTGGTGGTTGAGCTGGTAGGGATAATTGAGCTTATTGTAGTGCAGCGGGCATTGGTGCGTGCCATGATCATGAGGTGACACCACTCACGCTCAGCTGGGGTAATGGTGTCGGTCCTGGTGGTGGTGAAGGTGGAGAAGATGTTGTTGGTAGGGTTTGTAGGGTTGGAAGAGGTGGTGGTGTTAGTCAGGATAGCATTGGTAGAGGTGGTGGTATTTGAAAGTGTGATGGAGATAGCAATGTTGGTCGGGGTGGGGTTTGTCATGGTGGTGTTGGTAGGAGTGGTGCTGTTGGTAGGAGTGCTGGTGTTGGTAGGAGTGGTGCTGTTGGTGGGTGCGCTGTTAAGTGTTGGTGAGCTATTCATCATGGAGCAGCCATCCAGCCGAGTCTTGAGGGATCTGTGGGTCCTCTTGATTTTCATGGGGTGGCGCTTGCCCCGAGCCAATTTCCACATGGATCCTCTCATGTGGCGGCTTCGGTAAATTCGTCCACGTTGCGATGACTTCTGTTTAAAACCGGAAACAAAATCAGTATGAGAGGCAAGAGATTGCAGTCTCCTTCTTCCCCTGTTGGTCACATCCACTCAAATATTTTTTTTCACTTGCCATCTGCCACACCACCACCATTGATTGAACACGGGTGTTGTACTTGCCTTTCAGTCGCAAATATTGGACAACTATTTGTAATCCACAGCATGAACAATGTGTGTGCTTGTAATAAATGTGTGCGACTTTGTCGAGGGTGTGAGTGTGATTTTTTATTGTTTGTTCTTGTAACGTTCTAACCTGCCTCTCCTGGACATCTGTGAAAAATAGCTTAATAGCTCATCGGATTCCTCCAGTATAAATATTCTGATTCTGATTTGTGTCATCTATGCATGTGAGATTATGACATTTGCCTGAGTGATCTATATCCACGATGCCTCTCTGGGTGTGGTGTCTCTGTGTGTGTCTGTTGTGGTGTCCTGCTGATTCTCTATGTGACAGTGAAGCCAGCACACTCTCTCTTACCAGTTGATTCTTCCCAAGACTCTTAGGCTGGTAATGGTGACCCCTGTGCTCTCCACGTGGTAAGTGATGGCCACCGGCCCACTGTGCAGCATCTTCATCAAGGTCGTCCACCTTGAGGGAGACGGGTATTCTCCATCTTGCGGAACCGTCATCCAACAGCCTAAAGAAGAAGCTGCTTGAGGTACCATCTCGGCCAAGTTCGACCGAGCCTTTTATTTCAGGAGGTTGGTGGTGTGGACGGCCATTGCTGGCATGGCAGGAGGTCGCGGACGCCACTGTTGAAAACATTGCACAAGTATTTGTAATGTACAGCACGACAACAAGTATCTTTCCCTCTCTTTAGTTCAGCCTTGACTAACAGCTGGATTCTCGGCAATAAACAAAAGTCATTGGTCACGTGCCATGGCCCTGCGTAGTTTGATCCTCTGGTTTTTCCCTCCACATTTAGAAACATTTATTTCGATAATTTAGATTATTTTGCTGCTATGAATGTCCAAATGATGTCACTTTGTTGATCTATCATTTGTGACCAGGTTCCGTCTGAAAAATAAGTTAGTACCTCAGTGGGCTTTGTATGATGGGGGTGGTTTAGTTTTATTTGTTTGATTTTGGGTGATTTTTTAACCTTTCATGTACTTTGCACTATTATCATGTTTTTGTAGTATTTGTTGTTGTAATGTTCTTACCAGCCCCTACTGGACATCTGTGAAAAAGAGCTTCATAGCTCATCGGATTCCTCAACCATAAATAAATAGTATTATTCTGACTCTACTGGCTGGGGAAATAGTTCTGTCCGCACCAGGGCAACTCACCAACGCCGCACAAGGACAGCTGAGTCCAGCACATGTCCCAAATGCCACGCTGCCAGTAACAAAAAACACCCTTAAAGTTGCAGTGGATAATATTTAAGCATAATTGAGCAAGGTGTTTGCGACTTTGTCTAGGATGTGTGTGTGGATGTCATATATACTTGTGTGTGTGGTGTATGTGTAGGGGTGTTACGGGAGGGCGAACAAACACACGAGGGGTGGTTATGCCCGCACGCGGAAGGATGCTTACATCCACGTCCGCATCGGTTAGCCCTGGGGGGCTGTAACGGCGCTGTGATCTCCCACGGCCCCACCCCTCATGGGGGAGTTGCTATATAAGGCGGTGAGCCGGTGGGCACGGGGTTCAGTATTCAGCTTAACTAGTGAAGAGTGAAGACCGGCTAGATAGGCTCTGGGACTCCCCTGGATCGCTGTCCTTCTAAGGACCGACCAGGGCAAGCCAGTGGCGTGGCCCCGAGAGCCCAGAGCCGATGCTCTGGTAAGAGCCGGTCTGGTGACTAAGGGTGCCGTGATCCTAGCTTGGCCAGAGCTGGATCAGCTAGCCTCCCCTAGCTCTCGAGTGGAGGACCTGGGAGTAGGCTAGCCGGGCTAGAGTTAATGGGGTCTCCCTGTTAGACAGGTGAAGGGGCCGTTACCCCTTCGAGTGTTGTATACATTGGCCTGTGCTGAGTGAAACATTATAATAAATAAGTGTGCCTCCGACTACGTCGTCTACGTCTCATTGAACCTACTACATATGTGAGTGAGATTCTTATATCTACGCGAGTGATCTGTACGCGTGATACATCTCTGCGTGTGGTGGCTCTGCGTGTGGTGTCTGTTGCGGTGCCACGCTATGGTCTGTGTAATCGTGAAGCTGGCACTCACCACTGCATTCTTCAGCCACACTCCGAGGCTGAGGAGGGCGATCCCTGCACTCGCCACCTCGTAGGCGATGGCCACCGGCCTGCTGTGCAGCATCTCCATGAAGGTCTTCCACCCTAAGGGAGCTGGGTCGTCGTCTTCTCCTCCTCCTCCTTGGGGAACCTCCACGCCATGGCTGGGAGAGGAAGCGACTCGAGGCTCCCTCTTGGCTTCGTGATCTGCGAGCCGGTCGCTAATGTGGACAGCCACGATCGCTTTGGCGAGAGGTGGAGGCTGCCCGGCCTGTGGCGGTTGGACCTCCCAGGCTCCCCCCAGGTTAACCAGCCAGTTCGGGGAGAAAATTCTTCTCCTCCGTGGGCCCAGACGTGAGGAACGCGTAGCTCGTCACGAGCAGCGCCACGAGGGTGCGTGAGGTACTGCGCAGCCCATGAGCCTCCATGGTGACTGCTCCGGGAGAGGCTCCAGGAGGCTTCGTGCAGAGAGGCGCTCCTCAGCACGCAGCTCGCAGCGTGGCTCCAGCGGCACACTGGGCGGAAGCGGATATGACGTCACGGCCCGAGGACGGATGTATGTTGTGTCTCATCTGTGTGTCTGTATGTCTGTGTGTGTGTGTGCGGTACCGATCCAGCTCCTGACAAAGGAGTGGCAGCCTCTCCTCCGCAGTGAGCGTTCGAACATTCCACGTGGCCATCCATAGTGGCTTTCGTTGTTTCTAGAGGAGCCCCGAGGGTGAAGATTTAATCTCCTGGCTCCGCCAATTGGGGTTTGGCCAGGAGATGTTATAGACGCCTGTCCCCCCGGGGCCTCCGGCACAAGCTTATTAGTTACATATTTATGTTTAATTCGTAGTTTCGTGGTAATAAATTGAAGGTGGAGGGGTTACCAGCCCATCGCACCCGTCCAGAGCCCCCGTTTAGCCACTGTGGTGGTCACAGACGCCATGAGGGGAGAGGCCAATGGGCATTGGCTCTCCCCCCACAGCACTGTCCACGACAGTGTTGCCCATCCGGCACCGCGAGGAGGTAGGGGGTTGTTTTGCCGGACAGTGATGGGGCAGTAGTGGAGAGAGGAGAGTTTCCCACACCTGGGCAGTATGCTTATAACCGGCTCCAGTGTAACAGCAGAGGTCTCACTCCGAATCAGTCAAGTGGCAATATCTTTTCATCGGTTGCGTAATGCTGTGTGGAAGCTACCTGGTCTGTCGCTCCGCACGAAGCTTCAGGTTTTCTCGGCCACAGTCATTCCCTCCCTTCTCTACGCTTGCGAAACGTGGACCCCCCCCTAATGGAGCATCTTTGCCGGTTGGAAACATTTAGGCTGGCCTGCCTACGATCCATCCTGGGTTTAACCAGGCTGGATTGTGTGAGGAGCTCACAAATCCTTGAAAGATCTGGGTAAAGTCCCATTGGTGAGCTCCTCCGGCAGGCAAGGCTGCGTTGGCTGGGTCATGTAGCCCGCATGCCCAGCCACCGCATGCCTAAACAGCTTTTGTTTGGCCGGATTGAGGGGGCTAAACGGGCACAGCACGGGCTAGAGAAGAGATAGGGTGATGTGGTACAGGAGGACATGGAGCTGAGTGGACTTGCCGATGACTGGTACCAGCAGTGTCAAGATCGGCCTCTGTAGAGGAGGCTCGTGAAGGACGCTACTGGGCAGTTGGAGGCAGTCGCCCTCCAACAACAACGGAGGGCAGAGGAGCGACGCTCACAACAACGAGCGGAGCACCGTGTGGCTAAAGCACAGCAAGTTAGTACAGTAGGGGGCACAGGTGGTGCATTAGCCAGTCATCTCGGTCATCTCAGTCAGTCAACCCGTGGCACCTGGGTCTGCCCCGTGACCTCCTGCCAGCGGGCGTTCGACACTTCACGTGGCCTCAAGGTGCACATGGCCTGGCACAAGCGTCGTGGTGACGTCACCGCCACTTAGTGGCGAATGGCAGTTGTTGTTGTGTGTCTGCACCTGGTCTGTAGTGATTGAAAGGCATGGGCCAGATCAGTTCAATAACAACGGTAGGAGGCTGCTAGATTTTTGTGCAGCCAATGATCTTGTAATTACCAACACGCTGTTCCGGCATCGGCGCATCAACACAACATCACGGATGCATGCTGGATCCAAGCAAGAACATCTGCTGGACTACATAGTGACGGATCAGTGGATGCGAGCCCATGTCCTTGACACCAGGACCTACCGTGGAGCTGATCTGCCCTCTGACCATCGACTGACTAGTCATCTGTAAGATGCGCCTGCCATTCTTCCACTCCGGTGGTGGATGTACACCCAAGACCCCATTCCAACCTAAGGTGGCCTGGTCTCAGTTAGCTTATGAAAGTTGCAAGCGAGAATTTCATCAACGCTTGCGGCTGGGGTTGGCATCGTCCCCCACTCCTGATGTCGAGAGTAAATGGGCAAGGTTTAGGACTGTGACTCATGCAGCTGCAATGGCTGCTTTGGGAACGTGGTCCAGACCTCCCCAAAGACCCTGGATGACAGAGGAGGTGTTCAGGATGGTTGAGAAAAAGCGAAAGGTCCACTCTAATTGTCTACAGCATCCCACATCAGAGAATGAGGAGGCTTACCGCAGCCTTCGCTCGGAGGTTCGGAGAGCCGTGAGGCGCTGCAAGGATGGGTGGTGGTCACGGGTTGCTGAGGAGATAGGAGTCTGCCTCAGTTACCCGCAAGAACAAATCGCTCTTTAATTTCATGACAAAAGTAACCTGCAGCGCCACACCTATTACCATCATTAGGGGAAAGAATGGTGATCCAATCTCCGACCCCCAGGAACAAGTTTGCAGATTTTCTGAGCATTTCTGTGAGGTCCTAGGGTAGGGGAAATCCCTTACCCAGGAAAACAACATGGGACAAAGTGGGGATGACCCTGCTGAGGCTGCGGTGCCTCAAATATTGGAAGTCACCCCCTGTGAGTGGCTGGCTGAGGTGCCATTGGTTGAGGAAGTACGGAAGGCGATCCAGAGTCTGAGACCAGGAAAGGCACCGGGCAGAGATGATCTCCCAAGCAAAATGCTGAGGGAGGGTGGCGTTGTGCACAGACTGCCCTACATGACATCATAACAACAGTCTGGACCACTGGATGGGTTCCATAGGACTAGAAATATGCCCTGGTGGTCGCCCTCTTTAAGAAGGGGGACCGCACAGACTGTAACAACTACAGGGGCATCTCACTCCTCAGTATGCCGGGAAAGGTCCTGGCAAGGATTATTCAACATCGCCTTGCTAGGCACGCTGAGGAGAGGCTTGCGGAGCCCCAATGCGGTTTCAGGAAAGGGAGGTCTTTCACATATGCCATATTTTCTGTCTGTCTGCTACAGCAGAGGTGTAGGGAATTCCAACAAGACCTACATCTCTGCTTTATTGATCTGGTCAAGGCCTATGATACCATCAGTAGGCCTGGGCTCTGGGTTGTTCTTCGTGCTTTCATAGTCCCTGACCCTCTGCTCACGATCATTAAGGACCTTCATGATGGTGAGTGGGCCCAGGTAAAACTACGTGGCCGGGAGTGAGAGCCATTCCCTATACACCTTGGGGTGCGACGGGGATGTCCTCTGGCTCCCACATTATTTAACATCTATTTTGACCACGTAGTTCGTGAAGCCTTCAATAGCTGTACCGGGGGAATTTCCATTTGGTACAGATATAATGGGAGACTGATTGATGCCCGGGGGCGGTCAAGGGATTGCTCCCTATTGGTCAACCACGTTATGTATGCCGATGATTTGGTAATTGCTGCTCATTCAGAGGAGGAGTTAGAGACGCTTCTGCTGAAACTGGAATGTGTCACTAAGAGGTGGGGCATTACAATTAGCCCCACCAAAATTAAGCACCTGCCTGGGTATTTTGTACCATCAGACACTCCACCCCCACAACTCTCAATCGGTGATGGGGCAGTTGTGGAGAGAGTGGAAAGTTTCCCATACCTGGGCAGTGTGCTCATGACCGGCTCTGGTTTGGCAGCGGAGGTCTCACTCCGAATCAGTCGAGCAGCAATATATTTTCATCGGTTGCGTAACGCTGTGTGGAAGCTGCCTGGTCTGTCACTCCGCTCGAATTTTCAGGTCTTCTCGGCCACAGTCATTCCCTCCCTTCTCTACGCTTGCGAAACGTGGACCACCCTAATGGAGCATCTTCGCCGGTTAAAAACATTTAGGCTGGCCTGCCTACGATCCATCCTGGGTTTAACCAGGCTGGATTGTGTGAGGAGCTCACAAATCCTTGAAAGATCTGGGCAAAGTCCCATCGGTGAGCTCCTCCGGCAGGCAAGGCTGCGTTGGCTGGGTCATGTAGCCTGCATACCCAGCCACCGCATGCCTAAACAGCTTTTGTTCGGCCGGATCGAGGGGGCTAAACAGGCGCAGCACGGGCTAGAGAAAAGATGGAGTGATGTGGTACAGGAGGACGTGGAGCTGAGTGGACTTGTCGATGACTGGTACCAGCGGTGTCAAGATCGGCCTCAGTAGAGGAGGCTCGTGAAGGACGCTACTGGGCAGTTGGAGGCAGTTGCCCTCCAACACCAACGAAGGACGGAGGAGCGACGCTCACAACAACGAGCGGAGTGCCGGGTGGCTAAAGCACAGCAATTTAACACGTAGGCTTTCGCGACCAATGTTATTCATAATCAACGTTTTTGGGTTTAGATCGCGTTTATTTATAAATGTGTCGTAACCCTCCACCACCCGACACGGCCAATCAGTAAAAATGTGTCACGTTGACAAAGACAAATAGTTCACTGCTTTAGCCCACCGGTGTGTTGAAGCCACAACATTCTGGCGAATTGCCCGATGATGCTGGTTGCATTACCAGCGAAACGTCGTACTCCAATTGTAAATGTTGTGGCTTCAACACACCGGTGGGCTAAAGCAGTGAACTATTTGTCTTTGTCAACGTGACACATTTTTACTGATTGGCCGTGTCGGGTGGTGGAGGGTTACGACACATTTATAAATAAACGCGATCTAAACCCAAAAACATTGATTATGAATAACATTGGTCGCGAAAGCCTACGTGTTAAACTGACTAACCTCTATGGGGAGGATACTCTTCTTAAAACCAGAAAATTGGAGAAGCTCCGCATTAAGTGGATGAAATTGATATCTTCATTGGCGTTCCTCAAAAGGTGCAGAGATTCGAAGGTAATACCAAACGCAGTTAAAATAACACATC